ATTTTTCTACAATTCATTTTAAAATATAGTTTTAAAATAATTCTCATATATAATTTTTATTCATTTTTTATACGTAATTGTATGGAGAAATATTAAGGGTCAAAGTAATTAAACTATGCAAGTCAAAGTAATTAAACTACTCTAAATTTCTCGGCACGAGTGTTTGAGCCCCACACATACATTCAAAAAAATTGAGATTATAAGATTGAGCAAAAATTATACTGATGAGTATGTGAGCTACAAAATAATCATAAGGCCTTGTTTGAAAATATACCATTTTAAATTTGTGTTAGAGTTTTGAATTATTTTTTAATGATCTATCGAGCAGATTAACTTAGAAATGTAAAATTAAATGCTGGTCTTAGATAATTATTTCAAAATACTAAACTAACACTATGTTTGGATGACGAGAAAATAGTAATAAAGAAAACGTTAGATGAGAAAATACAAAACAAATGCAAATTCACTTGTTCGGATATGTGAGAAAATAGAGGGGGGAAAAGAAATTCCTCCGTAAAAGACATTAATGGGATCATGTAAAAAAATTTCTCACCATAGATGATGAGAAAATGGATGAAAAAATATTCCATATCTTTCTTCTATCTCTTCATATAGAATTAAGCTAGGGGTACACCAACATGGGGTACCCTAAGTGTATACACCAAGCCAACACAGACACACACAGACACAAAATGTCTGTGTTGCACCAACATTTTGTGTCTGTGTGTGTCTGTGTTGGCTTGGTGTACACTTGGGGTATCCCATGTTGGTGTACCCCTAGCATTGTCCTTTCATATATTCTCACTGTTTTTATCATTTCCTATTAATTCAAACATTGATTTTTTCTTTCTTTATTTTCTCGCCATTTTCTTTTCTCTCATTTTCTTTCCTTTCATTTTATTTAGTCCTTTTTCTCTTTTCATCCAAATAAACCATACGACTGAAAGTTAGTGTCAAAGGGATACTTAAATTATACTCCGTATTGATTAAATTATTTGAAATAATATTGTAGGCAATCAACGTGTAAAGCCAATGTGATTTATTGGAGACAAAAGCACATCCGTTACATTTTGACCACATTATAATACTCCTTCCGTCCTAATTCTTTCTTCCCAGTTTGACTTTTCCCCATTTTTAATTTTTTGCTTTGACTTCAAATTTTACCTTCCTTAAAAAAGATTTTTTGAAATTTTTTTTTGCAATCATTCAAAATATAGAATTAGAAGATAATTGATATAATACATGAGGGTATTAATGTCATTTGTCATCTTTTTTTTCGAATGGGAAGATAGTTTTAGGACGAAGAAAAAGGAAAAGTATGAAAAAAGTTTTAGGACAGAGATGGTAATATTTGAGCATCTCTACTTCACCATTAATAGAAAAAACTTATTCAAATCCTTGGAACTAACATTCAAAAAAAAAAGACCCGACAAAATTTTGAATTACTAGTTACGGAGCTACCTTTTAATGAATTGCTAGTCTTAATACTCCGTAGTTAATACAACGTCAAATATAATAATAATAATACTTTAGTCTTAATAAATTATTCAAGTTTGACTATATTGAATGATGAATTTTGAGTTTCAATAAGTAAGTGTACAATGTATATTAGTACAAAAATATTTTTATTTGTTGTAAACTTTTAAAATTTTATTTTATTGTACTAATATACAATACAAATTAAAAGTAATTAAAGTTTAAAATTTGTCTTGTTTGACTGGACAAAAATATTGGGACATAGGTAGTAGTAGTAATAATAATAATAATAAATTTATATTGACCTGGTTGCAATGCAATAAGTCATTTTCTAGTCTTTATATATATGGATAATATTATTCTATCATGATATAAGAGCGAGAGTTCATCAATAATGCTTGAGATTTAAGTTTTTTTCAATTTATTTTATTTAAAAATTATTTTCATTTAGTACTTTCAGTTTAAAAAAAATTGTTATGAAAATAAAAAATAAAATATACATATTTAAAAAGAGCGTGAAAAGTTTTTTCAAAATAAGTGATGATAATAATATTTTATTATTATATTAAATAATCAATCTAGAAGTACAAAAAAACAAAAATTGTAGTGACTTTTGAATATTGAACTATGACATTTTTTCTAAATGAAGAAAGTACTATATATGCATTCAAAAAATACTTAAAAGACTATACCGAGTAATATAATTCTCCCCCCGTCTCAAATTATTTGCCACATTTGTACTCCCGAGGTAAAATATCAAGTTTTTTCAATTCATTTTATTTACATATTGGTAAAGAAATAAAAAATAAAATTTACATATAAAAAAACAACATGAAAAGTTCTTCGAAATAAGAGGTGTCAAGAATATTTTATTTTATCAAATAATCAAAGAAAATGTCGAAATAAACAAAAGTTCCCGACACTGCTGAAAAAACAAATGTTGTGAATATTTAGTGGAGTATAAATTTTGAGACACATATAATTTGATTCAAAATTTATATAGAAGAAAGAAAAATATTGTAAAAAATCAAATTTTCTTTTGGAGAACATGAAACTTTTATTTAGAAATGTAGAAAATACTCCCTCCGTCCTAAAATTAATTTCCCATTTTGACTTTTGCAGTCAAAGTTTTTAAACTTTGACTGCATATTACGGAAAAAATATATTGAATTTTCATATAAATTGTGTATCAATAGATTCATTTTGAAACATAGTTTTGAAATATATTATTTTGATAATATATATTCATATAAAAATGAAGATATCACTGGTGAAAGTGCCGCATTTTAGACCGTGAAAAGTCAAATAGGAAATTAATTTTAGAACGGAGGTAGTAAAATTTGTGATTTTTAAAAAAAAAAAAATTGAGGCCATAAAGTGGATAGGAATTGTATCTCTCCGGACATGGGGTCTCATAAGTAGGGCCAGTCCGACGCAAGCTTTGACCACATATCTGCCACCCAATAAAACAAAAGCTTCCGTTTTTGAATATCTTCCGTCACAACTATTGGCAATTCAAGACTCAATTGTGTCCTTTTGTTTGTTAATTTATATAGTCCTTTTTTTGGCCAAGATGAAATGAAAGAACTTATTCTAGCATGACTGAATATACATCTTCACTATTACAGCTTACAGGATCTTGATAATTTTTTTTGTTTGTGCACTTTCATTCACCGTTTGACGAAATAAAATATTTTTGTCAATTCTTATTTTGAAGACTTTTATGTATTTTTGAATGATGTAATTTATATTTTTTATATCTATACAAATTCATAATTAAGATGATTTTTAAAAATAATGAAACTTTACATGTTGTTTAGAGTGTGATATTCATTGTGGGACAAAAAAGTACGGAGTACTACCTCCGTCCCAAAAAGATTTACACGTTTTGACTATAGTTAAAATTAAGGGATAGATAATTTTGTGTTGACTTTCCAAAAATACCTTTGATGTGATGGGTAAAAGTAGGATGTGATGTGTAGATTATTAGGAAAAAGATATGATGTGATAGGTAGGGTTTGAAAAAGTAAGGGGTAAAAGTGGTTTTTTAATAGAAATGGGTATAAGATTGTGGGACGCAATTTTTTTGAAAGGTGTAAATCTTTTTGGGACGGAGGGAGTATTATATTTGTTCATTGGTCAAACAACATGGTTCAGAAATTTATTTTTATTAAAAAAAGATGAGACCATCCCCTAGGGCCCCCTCAGACCCGGTTGGAAGGTCACTAAGTGAGGTAAATTGGACTTTAATCGCAGATTAGTGGTAAAGAGTGGAGCCTGCACCTAGTACTTGCAGAAGTCATATGTTTAGCGTAGTTGTCTCCTAGCGCAGTTCTCGAGTCTTAACTCCTTAGCATCCTTATTTTTTTATTTAAAACAAGCTAAGAGAGGAGATCATGTACAATTAACTTTTCACATTCCTTTTTTCATTTTCAACAAGCTCAATCAAATAGGTAAAATAAATTATTTAATGTAAGAGATTTTCCAACAGAGTATAAGGTTGCACAAGTGAAAATCAGATAAATTTTATTCAATTTGGAAATATGCATTTGTATTATTTATGGTAGGCTTAAGTATGATAGGATTCATATATTAGTCAGCTTTCATAATAAGTTGAGTCTTAATTTTGTCTGAATCTCCTCTTATATATACACCACATATTCTCTCTTTTCACTAGAGTAAAATTCATAATCTAATATTCAAAATAATCAATGAATACATACAAACTGATGGTGTAAATTATCGACCGGTATATCGTTTTAGCCCGGCAAAAACAATAAACTAGTCTAAAAAATACACCAAAATATAAACATGGGGATTTTTACGTGGAAACCCAAGTCGAGAGAAAACCACGGGCCTTTTTTGGCAGTACCTTGCCAACGGGGGATTTTTATTAATATCGGGGATGTGTACACGGTACATGATTTAGGTTAGAAGCCATTAATGGAGCATTTGAGCTCTTGAAGAAGAAGAAAATATACACAAGCTTTCTAGAGAGAGAGAGAGTAAATGGGCAGGGGAGAGTATAAAACTTGGCCTCCTTTAACATAGAGGGGGAGCCCTCCTTTTATAGGGGAGGAGGGGAAGCATATTCGGGGAATATTTTCTTATTCTTCTATTTTATTAAACAGGTCCGGTTTGACTGTTCTTCGTAAATAATTGGAAAATGTGGGTCGATCCACGTATTTTCCCATCACAAACATTGTGGGACAGAAAAAATATTTGAAAAGAATCATGTTAGGAACACACTATGATTAGTCTTATAGATGACTAACCGAGATAATTTATATGTTCACCTACGATAATCATCTGTGCACATAAACACTTATTGCTTGTATATGTATAAGAATATTTGTGATTGCCAATGGTCTTGTTTGGAAACAACATTTTCGATTAGCATTAATGTTTTGTATTAAATTTTAATATTGTAGATTAATTTAGAAAATACAAATGATAAACGTTACTGTTGGATAGACTTTTCAAAATCCTAACGCTAACATCTAACGTTTATACCAAACGGGGCCAATATCTAAGATTTGAGGATCAGTGGAGATTGGGTTCAATGCAATCTAATGAGAGTATGAGACACAAATAAAGTACGGGCAAAAGAAAAGATTTGAATCACTCGAGATCACACTCACATAACGCTGGTCATCCATGGTTAAATGCACATGTCCATTTCGGGCGTGAATCATACACACGTGTGGGTTTTAGCACTACTATATCATACTTTTCCTCTCCTGCCATCTCCCTCTGTTCTTCGCTTCAATTCAATTCAATTCTCCCAATAATAATAATAATACTAATTCTGATTCACCATTATGCCAGCTGCAAGCTTAGGCCCATTGGATATTTCCGTTCAGGTTCCCTACCATTTCCGGTGCCCGATTTCCTTGGAGCTCATGCGCGATCCGGTCACCGCCTCCTCCGGCCAGACGTACGACCGGGAAAGCATCGAGTCCTGGCTGGCCACCGGGAACACCACCTGTCCCGTCACTAGATCGCCGCTCGCCGACTTCACTCTCATCCCTAACCACACTCTCCGCCGGCTCATCCAGGGCTGGTGCGTCGCCAACAGGGCGTTCGGAATCGAGCGGATTCCGACTCCGAAGCTGCCGGCCGAACCGGGCCTGGTCCGGTCCTTGCTGAGCCAGGCGTCTTCCGAGCGGAACCATTTCGGGGTCAGGCTCTCCGCTCTGAGGAGACTCAAGGGACTCGCGCGCGACTCGGAGAAAAACCGTTGCGTTATTTTGGCTAGCCACGCGCGGGAAGTGCTGATACGTTTTCTGTTCTCGCACGCGCGGGATCCGCCGGATTCGGAGGAGTTCCGGTATGAGTCGCTCGCGATTTTGGCGGTGCTCTCACTCTCCGAGGAGGAATCCGTTCTCGTGTCCTCCGATCCGGTTCGAATCGGTTACCTTGTGTCCCTGCTTTCGAATTCTTCGATTCAAGTCCGAATTGACTCGGCGGCGGTGATAGAGTCCGTTCTCGTCGGGGCGAGATCGCCGGAGCTGAGGGCTCAAATCAGCAGCGTCGACGGGATCTTCGAAGGAATAATCTCGATTCTCGACTGTCCGTTGTCGTACTCGAGAGCGTTGAAGATCGGAGTGAAGGCTCTGCTGGCGCTGTGCCTGACGAAGCAGCACCGGCACAAGGCGGTGTCCGCCGGAGCAGTGGAGGCGCTGGTAGACAGGTTGCCGGATTTGGACGAGCGCGACGCGGAGAGGGCGCTGGCCACGGTGGAGCTCCTATGCCGGATTCCATCCGGAATCGCGGCCTTCGCGGTCCACGCAATGACGGTGCCTCTGCTCGTGAAGAGCATCCTGAGGATCTCGGACAGAGCCACGGAGCACGCCGCCGGAGCTCTCCTCTCCATATGCTCCGACTCCGAAGCAGCACAGCGAGAGGCGGTGTCGGCCGGCGTTTTAACTCAGCTGCTCCTGCTTGTCCAGAGCGATTGTACGGAGAGAGGGAAACGGAAAGCGCAAATGCTGCTGAAGCTGCTGCTCCACAACCACAATTGTTGGCCGGATGACTTCGCCGCAAATTCAGTGGATTTTGGGGCTTGATTTTGATTGGGGATACCTAATTAATTCTTTTAGTCAGTTTACATATATTGTAAATTCATGTTCATACACCCCATTTCTTTTCAAATAAGTTTAAAAAACATCTTAATTGACAAATCTCGAATTGTATATTGTTCCCCCTATTGCGAATGGCTTCGTTTTTAGAAGTTGAGACAATTTTTAATCCAATGTGTATCTTAGATCATGAATACTAAGATAAGAAGCACCATGTAGAGTCTAAGTTTGAAAGCCATAAAATAATTTTTAAAGTTGAGGACTAAAGGTTATATCAATGTGGAGTAAAACTACTCACGAGTCCTCACAATCTGACTTTTTATAAACAATGTTGGTATTTATTGGTTTCAAGCCTCAACAATCTCACTGCTTGGCGTCCCTCTTAACATTGATGGACATAGTATCACCATTTCTGACTGGAATAAAAAACAAGAATGAATTTCATTTTCGAAAGTTCCTTTTACGACCAATAGAAGTCGGAAGACACGAAGTGTTGCTTGTCTCTTAATGCAATTATCTTTGTTTTTCCTATTAAATAAAATAGTGCACATCCATTCCATTTCAAAGAACCAATCAATTAAATAAAATAAGAAACCGAAATAATGACCACAAAATTGAATAGCAGCAAAAAAGTCTTTGTTTTAAGAATTGTGTTATATATTGTGATTCTAAGATCCACATATGAAATATTGATTTTCTCACATTATTTTCAGGGTAATATCTATAAAATGAGTATGAATTTAAAAATTACAAAAAAGATTGAGCAAATTTAGCAATTCGCATAAAAATTGATAAAATCCACACATGATAACATCAATAAAAATTACTAGAATTTTACATATTCAAAAAAGTCATTTTGGTTCCAAACAATGCCGTTTTAATTTGTTTGTCCAAATTAACTAGCGGGTTATGACGATTAGCTACCCTTTTCCCCCTCGTCTCACGTGTACATTATTCTAGGGCCCAAGTATTATCTCAGCCAGGCCCTACCTCACATGGAAAATCCCAAATAGATAAGTTTGGGCTGACTTTTCCCAAGGCTTGGGCTCAGAGACCCAAGTCTCCGAATTGTTGTGGTCATGGGCCGTCATGGACTTGAGAGAGCAGATATTGCTTGGGACAACATGTGAATCTATGCAGCATCTATACATAATTATTTCATCTTTCTTTTTTAGTTCTTTTTACTTAGATAATTTTGACCTTAGAATGATTTGAGGCTTATATTCCTTTATGGTGTTCCGTTGCTAAAATTGATAATTTCTACCCCTGACCCAGCCATTCCTAAACTTTTGGATTTTTACATTTTTTAAAAATTAAATCAATGCAATAAATTTAGGTTTTAATAATTTTAAAATTAGTTTTCTGAATGTACAACTATATACTATGCCAGCTACAAAGTATTTTATTTTAATTGTCAAAGTTTTGTTCGCAGAATTATTAATAACATATATACTGAGCAATCAAATTTAGCCATAATTTTAAAACGAAAGTACTTCAAACAATAAAAAATAAGGCCTTAGAATATTTATCCTCAAGTATTTCTTTCTATTTTTTCCCTTAATTTTTCCTCTATAAAAAACACTATAACTCGGCCGGATTACAGAATGCATTGAAGTGAGTGAACCGCCGGCCGGAACGGCTCGGCTCTCACATTGCATGCATGCTTGCATGGGTCGTTATCCACGCCGTAATCTCTGCGGCGGCTTGTTTGTATATCTCCTCCGCCCCTGCTGCCGCCGAGCAGGACGTGGTTTCGGAGTGGAACATCCATCCATTATTCCCAGAACGAGCTTGAATCATGACCATGCTCCGGTGGCGATCCGACGACACTTGAGCAGACACAACCTCTATCTTATGCTTCTCGAGAACCAAGCACACCTCCGTCAGGAGGCTGCCGCCGCCGCCGCATCTGGCGGCAGCGGCAGCCTCCTTCGGACAGCAGAGACTGATCTGAGCGTCGGGACCGCAGACATTGAGGACGACGTTCGGAGATGTCCACGTCTGAAACGACGACGCCGCGGGGTGTTGGGCGATGGCCGGCTCGGGGTAGTGGTTTTGTGGCGGCGTTGATAGAGATCCGATCAGGGAAGCCAGGAGGCCGCCGGCGGGAGGATTCGTTGTGGCGGTCTTCATGGTGGTGGTTTTGTGTAGTGTGGGTAAAAGAGAGGATGACGGGGCGGCGGCGGAGGCGGGGGAGGTAAAGTTGAAGCTATATTGGAGCATTTCCATCTTTCGCTTCTGGAGCTTGTGGAGAGTGTGTTGGAGGGTTGTGATGTAGCTCACAGCTTCGTCAACAATGGTGGATTTGTCAGCCTGCATGCATGAGCCCATATATACATTACCAAAAGCTCATTTATTTATTGGATTTTCAATTCTAATTCAGGTGTTTGGTAGTACAAAAGCTATTTGGATTTGGAATTAATAATGTAAAAAATGAATTGGAATGTGTGAATTCAATTTTATGGAATTGAATCCCATGTAATTTTTATTATAATTCAATTCCAATTTCATCCATTCCGTATACCAAACAGATCCTGAAATTTCTTAACCCAGTTTTGGGAGCTACGGCTCCTCATGGGTTGGGAATTGGGATCCAAGAGGCATAACCCGCTGAACTCAAAGATAATTATAGCAATTTCAATCTGTTCTATATCTATGTATCCCTTGTTTATTAGGTCAAACTTTATTCTTTTGTTGACATATTATCATTTTATTTTCCATCATCTCCAATAGAGCAAAAAATTTACTATTTTCTGTCGTTAAAGGGTGATGCAATAAAGCAAAATGGATCTCTAAATTATCTGTACTTGTTAAATTAATAAAATAGCAATTAGTCAATCAATACATGCAACTTTCGTTGCTGAGCCGGGGGTCTCTTTGGAAACGTATCCACACCCTTCCCAGACCCTACTCTTGTGGGATTCAAATGTGTTGTTGTTTTTTCATAAAATAATATAGTGAGTCATACTTTCGTAGATCTTTTGATATAGTTTTTGAATATATACTTTTTATTTTTAAGTTCTACAACAATTTTCCAATAAGCTTAATTTAAATTAGGTTCAATGTAAAGCACAACGAGAACTAACTTAAAAATAGAGGGAGTATATTTACTCTAGTATTGGAACAATAACCTAATTAATTACTAGTCATTGAGTATTTATCCAGTTTTGATTTTTTCGTTCAACTGTTTTCAACCTCTGATCTATAATTAAATAAAATATATATTATATATTAAATAGATAAAATCATATTTTGAAAATATTTGATATAATAAATCTAATAAAATTATTTTTGTATCGATATCTAATCTCATTTTTAGTTAATTTGAAATTAAAGTTTATCAATTTTAACTAAAAAAATAAAAATGGATAAATATTTAGGGGCTGAGGAAGTTTTATTAATTGAATTGTTTAAGAGTTCCAATATTCAATATGAAGCCCAAAAATAATACTTTTACATCCAATATTCAATAATACTTTTACATCTAACATAAATTCCCTGTCCGAAGTTGTGTCCTTACTCGTGCTACGTCTCTAATTCCCAAATTTATTATGAATATAATATAATAAAATTGGGAAATCCAGGATGTAATTTGATGAATAACGCAATCAAAAGTTTTAATTATGTTCAAAAAAAATTTGTAATGATGAATTATATAAAAAAAATTAGTACGAAGTAAATAGGGGCATATATAAAAAAATTTGTATTCTTAGTTATCCCGGCCGGTCCTAGTCCTGTATTTTAAAAACACTACCTCCGTTCCTGAGTATTTATCCAGTTTTGACTTTTTTCGGTCAAAATGGATAAACTTTGTCTTCAAATTAATTAAATAAAAATGTTGTCCTACTTTGGATCAAATACAAAGTATAAATTTAAAAACTTCTTATCAGGGAAATCGGGAACAGTTTGAGACGTCATAATTTAAACTTTTTTCTCAAATATAAACTTAAAAATTTTCTTATTTGTTAACCCGTAAAAATAACTCAAAATAAAGTTATATACAAACACCTTTAATTAAATTCTACCGGAGTAAATAAAGTAGATTTAAGAGTAGATAAACATGTTAAAAACAACATTTTAGTTTATGAATCTTATGAAGTAGTATGAAAAAGTAATGCAAATTAATATTTGAATCTAGATATTTATTTGAATATACCTTGAGAAAAATAAAAATTGTGATATTTTTCGAGTTATCTTAATAGTTCATGAGGATTTTTTAATTACACGAATCACCGAATTTTTGAGGCAAATATGTGTTATCAATATGCAATCTTGGAACATTTTCATAAATGTTCATTATATAAACTTTGAATATTTATGTAAGATCTCAAATTTATTGGAGTATTTATTTGTGTTTTTTTTTCAATCAAAAGGAAAAAAAAATCAAGAAATTACTCCCTCCGTCCCATAAAGTGTTACCCATTTTGACTAAAGTTGAAATTAAGGGAGGGATAAATTTGTGTTGACTTTCCAAAAATACCCTTGATGTGATGGGTAAAAATAGGATGTGATGTGTAAATTATTAGGAAAAAGGTATGATATGATAGGTAGGGTTTGAAAAAGTAAGGGGTAAAAATGGTTTTTTAATAGAAATGAGTAAGTGATTATGGGACGCAATTTTTTTGAAACGTGTAAATCTTTTTGGGACGGAGGGAGTAAAAAATAAAGAAATTACCTTAGGTGGAAGTTGAGGGAGCAAAGCATGGAGATTGGAGAACATATTCCTCATCTTCTTTCTCCTCTCTCTTTCTGTCCATATATGAACCTCATGATCCGATTCCACTAATAACACTCCACTTCCATTGTCGCCGTCTTTGTCCGCCGCCGCGGCCAGACACCTCTTCCTCCTCCCTGCAGATGGCGGCGGAGGCTGGTGGCTCTCGGACCCGCCGCCGCCACCCGAACCAGCTAATCCCTGATGGTCTCCTGGATTTTCCTCTGGTTTTTCGGAAATGGGGATTGCCCATTCTTGATTGTCCCATAGGAAGAAGTCTAGAGCGCCACCGTCATCATCCATAACTCCACCGCCGTCCACCGCCTGTCTGTCTATATGTCGATTTGTTTATTCTCCATGTTTGGGTATATATATATAGGACACCGAGTCTGCTCCTTGAAAAGAATAAAGTTTGCCCGACTATATATGGACATCTTTAGTATTGTTAAGTTTAACATTTTCGAGTTGAATATGGATAATTTTTTAGTTTAAATTAAACTATAACTATAACTTATACTCTGTATTAATATAAAAATGAAAATGATTTATTAGATTTAACGTAAATGAAACTTTCAAATTTTTATTTTATCTTATTAATATGCAATAGAAATTGAGAGCACATGACTCATAAGTGTGCTACTTCCTCCGTCCTAAAATGTTCTTCCCACTCACTTTTTACCCGGTCAAATTTTAATCACTTTCTTTACCTATTTTCATTAGGTATTTGATAAAATAATATAATCTTGTCACCACTTGTTTTGTAGAACTTTTGATGTAGTTTTTAAATATATAAATTTTATTTTTTAATTTTACACCTACAATCAAATAAATTGAATTGAAAATAAAGTCGGTCAAACCTCGTAAAATGAACTGGGAAGAACATTATAGGAGGGAGGGAGTATATATATTAGACTTATGTTTGCCCTCTAAGAAAAATATGCATTGTTAACCTGGTTAATTTTAAAACTCAATATAAAAAGAGTGGTGTTGTGTTGATACTTGCCAACGGTGATACTAGCGGTGCCATTATATTTTTGGAGCACCAACTACATAATAGTCAGTAGTCACACATTTGGAGCATGCTTAAGATGGGGATTTAGGAAGTGTAAGAACCATCAATTTTCAGATTGCAACACCAGATTAGAGGTGCTCTAAAAATGCAGTGACATCATTTGTGTTACTATTAGTGAGTGTCAACGAAACCATGTTCATATTAAAATCAATCGTTGAATAATAGCCTACCCGGTCGCATTTTTAAAAGGCCAAACGTTTTCATGAACGAATTAAAACCTCAAATCTAAATAGTGCATTTTTATTTACTCTCTTGTCCCAAATTAAATTATAATTTTTTGGGGACTTATTTTCGACAATTTTTATTATTTGTGTATCTTTATTGACTATTTGATAAAATAAAATATTTTTGTCACATCTTGTTTTGTAAAAGTTTCAATGTATTTATTAATTATTTTTATACCAATATTTAAATAAGTTGATTTTAAAAATATAAGACTTTACTCATTTAATGGAGAATTGTAATCCAATTTGGCACGGAAGAAGTATATTCATGTATCCCAAAAACGTTTAATATAGGAAATCTAGGCATCACAACAAATATGCCTCAACTACGCTTTGTGATCCTGACACTAAGGACCTGTTTGAGAATAACATTAGAGATTAGTACTAGCGTTTTGAATAAAAATTTAACAGTGCATATTACTTTGAAAATGATAACGCTAAACGCTGCCCGTAAATAGCCTTTCCAGAATGCTAACGCTAATCTCTAACGATATTCTTAAACAAGTCCTAACGCTCCCTCCGTTTCTTAAAACCATTCCTCTTTCATTTTTTTTGTTTTTCTTAAAACACTTCCCCTTTCTTTTAAAAAACCACTCTTACCCCTACTTTTTCATACCCTATCTATTACATCATACTTTTTCACTAAAAATTAAACTATCACATCTTACTTTTACCCATCACATCAAGGGCAAAATTAGAAAGTCAACTACAATTTAACACTTCCTTAGTACTTCGTATGATATTTTCATTGGCTTATATTCTGTAAAATATAACCAATAATAATGTAACCAAAATAATAAAAACTTTGTTCTCCATGATTTTCATCATAATCTATAATTTTTGGTGTGACTAATGCTTCTTATTAGCAAAACCCTAAGAAAGTGTTTGAGAAAGACAACTCATTTCAAATCATAGATTTCAATTTCAAAGAATCATAAAAATGCAATTGACAACACAAGTTGGATTCTTTGTATTTGTTTATCTTAATCATCTTCAGATTATTATCCAATTGTAGTTTGTAACTTTATCATTGTTAAACTTAAACTATATAATTAAAAAATTACGGAGTATTTCAAACATTAATGCTAATAAAATACTGTTAGTTTAGTTAAGTATATTGAGAATTGAATGTAAATGGTTCATCCCTTCATTCCACAATAACTATCTATTAAGGATTAAGAGATAAATTAGATTTTGAATGAACGTATAGTCAAGTATGTTTATATTCATTCAAAATCTAAAGTATCTTAGAAACTTTAATAAATAATTATTGTGAAAGGATGAGATTATATTATTGAATCAGTTTTTTTTTTTTTTAAAGTTGGCCTGTTTTGTACAGACATTGTTTAGAATAAGGCTCCTAAAATACGACACTGATTTTATAAAACAGTACCTTATCCATTTCAAATTAATTTGTTCATTTTAATGGTAAATAAAGGTGGAAAATGAATTATTAGGTTTTTTTGTTTAAATACCGAATTGGTTTGAAAGACCAAATTATTTTAAATTACATATTCTTTTTTTAAAAATAAAAAAGGCATTTATTTTAAAAATAATTGAAAAAGTAAAGTAAAAATACATCTATGGGACAAAAGGAGTAATAGAAACAAAAAAGTGGGTAAAAAGTGTAACCATATAATCCAAAATATAAAAAATGTAACTGTAATAAGTTTATCATTACAAAAAAGTGTAACGTCCGAGATTTGTCTTTCATATACAGTAATAATCATAAGACAACACATTTAATCACAAGATAAGAACACATTCAATTATCAAATGAATTGCATCCCTACTCATTAATCATTGTAATTAACGTTAATCATCATAATCTGGTGTCCCCTAATGGCCGCCAAACCACCTTTTACTCATTTTCTTAATTCGAATGAACCACTCAAGGAATCATGGGATGCAATAAATTAGTTGTGAAATATTAGTGTTAAATAAATTAAATTAGGTGTGAAATTTGCAATCTGAATTTTGAAATCTAGCTAATACTAGTAACTAATTAAAGTTTGGATGCATTAATAATAATAATAATTAAAATCTAAACATTGATGTCTAAAATCTAAAAAATGGAGTCTATAACAAGAATCTACTTTTTAATTAGAGTCTGAAAGATGAAAAAAACAATTGCATGCATTTCTTACGTACACACAAACCAATTTTTATCCCACTGGTACAATACTTTGTACTATCTCCGTCTTTGAGTATTTGTCCAGCTTTAATTTTTTTCGATCAATTGTTTTCAATCTTTGGCCTATAATCAAATAAAATATATATTATATATTAATTTGATAAAATAATATTTTTAAAATATTTGATATAATAAATCTAGAAAAACTATTAGTTGGTTTGATCTGATCTGATCTAATTCCAATAAAATTAAGTAATAAATAAAATTAATTAGTTGAGGAGAACATGACCTTAGTTGGGATTCGAGTCTCATTTAGATGGTTCAAGTTTAGATGCTTTTTGCTGATTCAGATTCAAAAATTTTAAGGTTGGTTACTTGCTTTGATTAAGATCAAATTCGAGTTGAATTGTCATCCCTAATGGTGATATGCGTGATGGGTTGAGGGTAGGTGTGTGTAAACTCAATTCAACCTTTTGTCATCCCTAATGTTGTTACTTTTACCTAATTTAGCATTGTAATTTTAAAAAATGAATGGTAATTATAAGAGTAAAATCAGTGGAATAGAATAGTTACTACAAAAAAACTTATATATAGAATCTAGAAATAAGAAATTAAACTTAATACTTGGAATCTAAAGTCTAACTGAAACTTAGATAACTGGAATCAAGTGGCTTCCTTTTAAAATGGCCATCTAATGGGCACATGGCTATTGTTTCGGGTCGTTAATAGGAGATGGGTCAATGATTTTTGTTTGGAACGAACTCTAATATCTATTTGTCATTACACCCATTTTATTTTTATTTTCATATTTACAATGGAAAAATAATATAAATCGCGCGATTCTTTCTAAACCCGAGACCTTATTTTTGAAAAAGAAAATTTGAAACTTATGATGTCAAATAACGAATCATTGTGCATTACGAGCACATACACACAACTATCATAAGGCAAAAATAAGCAATGGGAAACATATCAACCATTTAACATATAAACACGTCCCAAAACGGTTTATTACATACCAAAGCAGAGCGCGCCGGGTCCATTGACATTCATGATAAATAAGAGTAAGAAAAGTGCATATTACAGACTTCGTCCTCTTGACAAGTTTACATTTACCTTAAAGTTTTCTTATCACTTTTCTTTTGGTGTTTGTTTTCTCCTTCCTTCGGGGTGGGGCTTGTCAAGTATCCAAACCTGTCATCTTACAGATTGGGCATAGATTCTTGACCATTAGCCACTGTTTGATGCAATTGGTATGGAAGTCATGGCCACATTTCAATGTCCCAATCTCATCTGCATTTATATACTCCTCCTGGAAATGGAATATATATATATATAGAGTTTATTAACAACTTAAAAAAGGAAAAAAAAAAAAACAATTCTTCAGTATGGAGCTGTTGAGTGGAGAGGCATAGAGAAGTAATTAACCTGACATATACAGCATGGCTCCAGGTCTGATGATAATCCTTCAAAGAAACAATAATATTTCCGTCGTTTCATACCTCTGAGAATGGTGGCCTCACTCAATCCTGTATTCACATTTCCTATGTGTTCTTCCAATGCCAGTAATTCCTGGAGATAAAACCAACGAAAGTTTGGTAAAAAAATATACATTTTTTGAAGTAAAAACACGGTGATGGCAAGTAAAGAGGTTCGTATAGTCCACCTCGTAAGTCATATTGTCCACATCAAGCCTCATATCTCTGTGCCTGTCATGCAGTTCCGCAACCTCGTTCATAAACGAATTGAACACGGGGTGAACCTGAATAAAGAATTGAGAGAAATACCCATGTCAAAAAAAAAAAGTTTATTAAAAGACTTAAGATTCCATATAGAGAGCAATGAAAAAAAAACCTCAGTCGGGAAGTTGTTAGGTCTTCGCATAGCCTCAAGTGCTTGGAGCATCTGTTGAGGTCAGATGGCAACTTGAATCAGTATTGACCATCATTGAGCAACAAAAACAGCTATCGTTACTTAATTCAAATTACATAAGAATAATGCAGAGTAGAAAAACATAAACTTGAGAGAATATAGGCCTGTTTTGTAGAATTAAGTGTCCTATTATGCTTGTTTTGCTTTTCCTTTAAGTATAAAGAATAAGAAAGAAAGAAAATTTGCCTTTGACTAAATTGTTTGGAAGAAATTGATGTTACCACATGCCCTTCCTTTAAGAAAATTTAGCACATCCATCATTTAAGCATTTAAATCTATACAAAACGGGCCATAAAATGATTTTCTCTAATGACTTCACTTCAATGTTTAGTATAGATACAAATGCAAAACTTGGATTGGGTATCAGTGTTTCTTTCAAATTAAGTTGCTGGTTTTACATCCCCATGCTTCCCAAGGGCAGATGTTTAAATTTAAAAATCGAAAATGTATGTAAACCAAAAAAAAAGCAAACCTCAGACTCCATTGTGTATCTTCCCTCGAAATCAGAACCTAATGCACGCCAAGTACCACCACGATTGTCACCTGCAACCTCCGTTGTTACAGGAGGCCAAAAACATTGTTGGTGGTTACCCCTCCTGTGAGGTTGTGATGATGTCACTGGATCCTCACGGGAAGTACTAAGCCAGTGTGATGGTCTGAATGAATCCTCAGAGGAAGTAGTAGCCCATGGTTGGCATTGAAAATTATTGCCTACTCCTCTTCCCATACGGCTTCCACCTGGTTCAGATGCTGCATGTGTGGAAATATTCCAGGGCATTTCTGACAATCTCTGATGGCTGCTGGTACTGGCTTGGTTCTGATTAGTATCCCGGGTTGATGGAAATAGTGTATGTGTATGATATTGGGGACCAATTCCAAAACATGAAGGATGGTTTTGAGAGGAGCTTGCAATGTCTGGCGTCCAATTAACACGTGCTGAATTTCGTGTCTCATTAGCACGGAGATACCTAGAATTTGCACCATTGTTTGTGAAGGAACCTCCAAAACCAGTTTCATCATGCACCATGGGACTATTCGTCGAAGATTCCATTGGAGGATAGTGATTTGTGGGATTGATCGAGTTCATCGATAGTGATAATGAATCCCACAAGTTTGGAGAACTAGAAAAATGTCCTTGTGACACATATGGAGTGCTAATGCCAGAAGGTCCTAGAGCAGTTCTTTCCGGTAGTAATTGAAACCCGAAGTTCTCTATTATATCAAAGTTTCTTGTTGAGCTTTCGGCTGTTCTCTGAGCACTTGAAGGTTGGAATTCATTGCATGCTACTAGTCTTGAACCACTTGAGTTTCTTGAATTGGCTTGTTCTGAGACACCGGCATTGGAGGGCATAAACAAACTAAAGCTGCTTAGAGGGAAACAAGGGGCATTGTGATTTGCAGTGTTCTCAGCTTGGGGGTTAGAGCTCGAACTGCCACAAGCAAAAGACTTTCTAGAGCTGACATCAAGGGCCTTTCTCTTGCAGGCAAAACACCACGTGTTTGGAAAAGAATCCGGATCATAATGGTCTCTCAAGAAACTTCCAGAATCATATGAAGATGTCCCTTCGTTATCAATGCCCAAAGGCGCGCATGATCTGCTGATGTGCGGACCACTGAGATTGCAATACGGCCCACCAGCTACATTTGAGTTCTCAAGGGAAATATTGGGACTAGAACGCTGCATAGCTGCCCTGCCTATCGGATGGGTAAAGCCATAAGCATTGCTACGGTTCTCATGAATGAGACCATTAGAGTAGTCAAACTCTCTTTCTTCTGACCTCCGATCCGCTACAAGGTAATTCCGGGATGATGATGATGATGGTGGCAGCCAAACATGCCCTAATACTTCTGGAGTACTCCCGTACACATTGCTATGCCCACTTGGAATAGAATTGGACTCGCCGGAATCCCAGTCACTGAAACTAGAAGCATTTGGATATGGCCACAGATTCTCCACCGGATCAGGCATGAGTATATCAACAAGTTTGTTTGATTCACAGGACAGTTACTATAGACCACTCCAATTCTTAGGAACTTAGGATTTAGCTTTTCTGGAAAATAATTCAAGTTCTAGTTAGCATTCGAGCCCGGACAGCCTAATTTTAGTTTTTTGTGCGATACACAAAAATCTGAATTCAACTTGTTATCAAACACAACGAACAAACGACGATGTAATACGAGCACAAATCGTGTTCAAAAAACACGGAAATTCGGGAAAAGTTAGCTCCTTTACCAATGATTCACATCTAAAACTGCAATCCGAATACTTAGAATGAAAAACAAAAATGCACATGAGATTTCTAATACTAAATACTACACACACAAAAAAAATTAAAATTCACTATAATCAAGAAAATTGATCAATCTCAAGCCTGGGTAGTTCGGGTAAGCAAATTTAATTCGATCAGGTTCGAGGACAATCCATGGAACTAAGTGACTTGCAGGATGGTGTTCTTCACACAATTAAAGTCGAAAATTTAACATAACCAACAAAAATTTCCATTGCAAAAAAAATCAAAACCAGTTTTCTAACAGCAAAACCCAGATCCTAAGAACAAGAAATTAAGGTAATTATAATATAATAATTAAAAAAAGATTAAAGCTTTGGCGTTGAAACGGAAATACCTGAAGGAGGTTGGATGAAAGAAAGAAAGAACGGTGAATTTGTGTTTAGGAATAAAAAGAAAGGAAGGAGTCCAGAACCGAATGGAAAGAAAGCTTTTTAAAACCATGGGATTTGCATTCCTACCAAATCTCGTAATAACTGAGATTATCAGAGTTGGGCTTCACTGCCACGAATATGGCCCAATACTATTCAATGAAGCCTTTTTTAGGAATCTAAATTTAATTTAGAAACATTTTTAGCGTAATTAATTAATTGGGTAATATAATTAGAGTACAACTCTAATTTAGGAAACGTTGAATAGTGCTTATCCGAACTATGGTCTGCGTAGTAAATTAAATTTTATCCAATTATTATCTTCTTATTACTTTATTATTTGAGCTGTTTCAAAATTTTCTTCACTTGCTCGGGGTATTTATTTGGTTAGAGAATTATGAAAAGAAATGCAAAGAAAAAGAAAAGAAAGTTAAAGGAACCAAAATTTGTAATCTTGTTTGGTCAGAAAAGAAATTTGTGAGGAAATTAATTTGTAAAAACTTTTTTGTTTGAATTGTATTAGAGAAAAAAAGATATTGTTATAAAAAAATTAATTGCATTATTATACTGGATATGACTTAATTTTCTATTTCTAATTTTAATTGCATTATTATAAAAAAATTAAAAATTTATTTGCCGTGCATCGCATGGGTATGAATCGAGTTGTTCAAAGAAAGAGAGAGTAATGGCGGGTGGGAGAATGGGAGCGAGAGAGGACGTGAGACGCGCAAGCGGGACACGCGAAGTGGGTGGGTGGGGGGGAGGTGGGGAGGAAGGGGAGGATATGATTTGTAATTTTCTGTCATTTGTCCTCATTGGATTTGTTAGAAAATTAAAAAAAAAATCATAATTGAAGGTAACCCACACTTTGTGTTGTGAGTCTAGTGATACATATTTTAAAAAAATGTTTTGTGTTCCAGTAAAATTGATTTTGAGTGAAACACGAAGTTGAAATTACTTTCTTTTGTGTTTTATGGATTCAAATGAAGGTAAATTTTTCGGTGGTCTTAAATTTCACACTTATTCTATGGACATTAGTATATAAATATCACGGATGAATTAGACTTTTTGAAAGAATTTTATATGTCAGTCCATGAAAAGTGTGAGAAATATATTTGGTAAATAAAAAAGTGATATTGGTTAATATAAAAATATATTTTAAAAAAGAAAAATCATGTATTTCAAATAGTCTCACTTTTCTGGGTTTGCAAAGAAAAGGCCAACACTAATTCGTTATTTTTCAATTATTAGGGTAACAACAACCCAATGCTCACAACTACGAGTATTAAAAGTGGTACGATTATTGTACACAATATTAGAAAATGTGATGACTTTTTGTTGACCATCCAAAAGTGAGATTACTTGAGGTAATTTTCTTGAGAGTGAGAAGGTTATTTATGGATGAACAAAAAAAATATTCTTGGTCGAAGGGTCATGAGATTAAATTGCATTCTCGAAAATCAAAAATGTTAAAATAACATCAAGTTTGATACCACGAATAACAACCATCTGTAAATTAATACACACATAAGATGTAATCGTCCGTGAACACTATGTGTTCAAATAAACTTAGGGTATGTTCTTTTCAATTTTATATTTGCCTCCAAATAAAATTCAAAATATTTTTGGAATAATCTAAATGAAAAAGCAAGAAGCTTAGCCCAAATAAAAATTTCACAGGCTTACATTAAAGTACAAATATTTAGAAGCTTAGCCTAAATAAGGTTAGGGGGTGGGAATGAAAAATGTTTTGTTAGAATAAAGAATGAGGAAATGAGAGCTAAATTTGGAGTGATACTTGTTGAAAAGATGTTGGAAACTCATTTTTAGTGGCTTGGACATGTGGAGAGACTGAGAGAGGACCAATAGAGCATCGTGTGAGAAGAGTGGATCAAACAGTGAATAGAGATGTGGTTAGAGAAAGAGGTAGACCTAAGAAGACTTGAGAAGAAGTGATCAAGGGGACCCTTGCGCCAATGAGCTCACCGCAAACATAATACATGATAGGACACAATGACGCCGTTTGATTCATGTAACCGACCTCACCTAGTGGAATAAGGCTTCATTGTGGTTGTTGAGTTGTTTTTATTTAATGCACACCTGGTTGGTGGATTTAGTACTACTCTTTAAAGACATTTAATACGGAGTATAATTTTAGAACCCAAAAAAAGATAATTAAAAAAGAGAAAATAGAAGGGAGAGAATATTAGTTACTCCACAAAGAGTGGTGATTCCGTGCACTTAAGATCCACGCCTAATTTCTAGATTTTGTTACAAAAATTGTTGGGCTTAGAAGCCAATGTGGAAAAAGACCCGTTTCACCCAAGCTAATGTGCCTATTGTTAATCATAATCCTAGTCCTAATCCTAAGTAAAATTTGCACTAAATAGGACTAAAACATAATGACTTTCCTAATGTAGGATTTAAACTTTTTTATTCTCTAAATAAGACTTAATAATGACCTAGTGGGAGGAATAATGTCCAGTAATGATGGACATTTACTTGAATAATGATTACTTGATAATGACCAAAAGTCCTACATTGGGAAATAAAAACATATGGTCCTATATTGGGAAAGTCATTATGTTTTAGTCATATTTAGGTAAATTTCTCTAATCCTAATCCTAATCCTAATCCTAATCCTAATCCTAATCCTGATCCTGATCCTGATACTAGTAATACTAATACTAATACCAATACCAATACTAATACCAATACTAATACTAAATACTAATACTAATACTAATACTAATACTAATACTAATACTAATACTAATACTAATACTAATACTAATACTAATACTAATACTAATACTAATACTAATACTAATACTAATACTAATACTAATACTAATACTAATACTAATACTAATACTAATACTAATACTAATACTAATACTAATACTAATACTAATACTAATCCTAATGCTAATACTAATACTATACAATTACTAATNTGTATTCAAGGTAAAAAAGAATGCAAAATAGAAGAAGCGAAAAGGGCAATGAAGCTAAGCAATCAGCTTGTCATTAATCTGATACCTTGATAAATCATCTAACCTCAGCAGCCACCTTTTACTCCCAAGCAGTCTGTAGAACTATTGACTTTTAGAGACTCATGTTGGTCCTATGTTGGCACCTATCTGCTTCTCATTGGTCTTTACCCAGTGGACTTCTTGTTTGGATTTTTTTCAGCATCAGAATTGCCTGCTTGTGTGCCGTTGTTATTTGTGTTTCTTTCTCCGGTGATTGAAGGCTGCTTACCCTGATTACCAATTGGTGGTTCCTTTCGGTTTGCAACCGGTGACTCTTTCTTTGTTTCGACCACCATTCCCTTCACTGTCTCCTCCAACTTGTCCAGCCTTGCTTTCAAGTCCAAGAGTTTTTTATCAGACAGTTCTTCTTTCTCTAGCTCTGATGTTTCTTCAATTTCTTTTGCTTTTCCTGCTGCTTCTTCTTCAGCTTTCTTTTTCAATTCATTTTCCTGAAACAAAGAATACAAACACCAATAGAGTTATTTGGTGAGTATCACAGTGCAAAACTTCTAAAAGACTTGCTGAGGTACATGAGGTTCTGAAGATTATTATACATCAGAAAGATAGCTTTGTATAGTGCAGTGAGGAATAACAAGAATAAGCGGTAAAGATTGAAAAAAAAAAGACAAGGAAGTAATTCTCTTACCGCCTCCATTCTCCTCATGTCATACCGAGCATATTGAGCAACCAAATACACAGCTGTTACATATCATTTGCCATTCAAATTATATCATCAAAGAACTAACGTTTTGAAACATTAGTAAAGCTAAGTATGTGATGAGAGGTACCCAGGGAAGGTAGGCAGGCAAAGAAGAATTGTACCAGATGGAAATCGAGCCTGATCATTACACAAATAAATAAGTTACACTTGAACATCACGAAGTAAAATGTCATTTGACAAATGATGTGCATATTTCCTTGGAACTTATCACAAATGAAACAGGGATCCAACATTATATTATATGCTTAGCTCCTTCACTCAAAGTAGAATTGGCGCAAATGGCACAAAATGTAGGGCTGCTTCATTATCACGATTTAAAAACTCATAGAGGTTATTCTGCAGCATTTTTGTTCCCAAAGTAAAAACTTTCAGGTCTTTTATCTTCAAATTTCAAAACTTCTTTGTAAGTATTGACTGTTAAATGAATGCGGATTATATGCATTGGTAACCTCAGATCTCTTTTTCCATCATCTCCGATGGAGCCAAAATTTCACCATTTTTTGGCTTTGGGGTGTGATGGAATAAATCAAAATGGATCTCTAAACTATCTGCGCTTCTTTAATTAATGAAGTAGCAGTTAGTCAAGCAATGCAACTTTCGACGTTGAGCCGGGGGTCTCTTTGGAAACAGCCTCTCTACTTTCGAGTAGGGGCAAGCTCTGCGTACACACACCCTCCCCAGACCCTACTCTTGTGGGATTTAACTGGGTTGTTGTTGTTGTTGTTGGTAACCTCAGATCTCTCTTAGCACAGCCTATAGCACATATCATGACTTCCTTTTCCTATTTAGGGCTCCACATTTTCATTTATATGAAACTAAGCTCAATTATATTACACAAACATAGAAATATAAGAAACCAAACAGGTAAAAGATGTTACGCCTGGTTTCTGAATGAATTCGGAATCTCAGACTATGCAAGCATAAACAAATAAATGAATGAGAGAAAAGAACACCGGAAATAGCTATAAAATTAAAACAAGGAAACAATAGAATAGGTACTCTAACACTATGTTTGGTTCAAAGAATTTGAAAGGGAAAAGAAAAGAAAATGAGGTGGAAAACTGTTTTTCTTGTTTGGTTAGAGGGGAAAAGAAAGGAAAAGTGGAAGGAAAAGAAAATGAGAATGCAAAATGTACCAAGTGGAGAGAAAACAAAATTCCTTCCATTTTGGCGAGGAAAATGAGAGAAAACCATTTTCTTTCTTTTCCTTCCAAATTCCTTGAACCAAACATAGTGTAAGTGTTTGACAAATTGCCTGAAAGAGAGTTCAGAGCAGAATACCCGAATTTTTTCTTTTTGGGAGGATCCGAGAAGAGGATCTTAGCAGCCTTCATGAAATTGAGGTTGTCTAGCTCCTTGTAAGTGTCATATGGAGTCAAAGAAGAAGAAGATGCATCCACCACATCATTCTTCTTGCCAATGTTGTTGTTGCTGGGTGGCTTGTTGTTACTGCATAAGGATCGTGTTCCGATGGGTCGGAAC